ATATTTCCCCAAAATTTGAGCCTTGAGGCCTCAGAGCTTTGCCATGGACTATTTCTCCTCATCTGCTTCCACCAGCGAAGAAAATGCTGGAAAAAGTCTCCCACAACAAGATGGAAAGACCCAAACTGTGGATGTCCCTCCACTGCCCCAGGGGATGGAGCCACTGCTGTATCCCCAGAACACAGCAGCCAAAAGGTTTGGAACATGGCAAGAAACCAAAATACACAACAAAAACATTCCCATGAGACTGGGAACTCCCAGATTCCCAGAATTCTCCCAGCCCGAGCTCCACAGAGCAAGACTAAGAGGTACCCACTCGTGTGGCCACCATGATAACCTCCTTCTCAGGGTCCACCTTTCCAGAGGAATTGATGGGCTGCAAAGTGCTCCACACGTTGTAGTCGAGGAGAGGGTCACACACGATCTCTGGGAAGCAGAAAAGGAAACATTCCTGGAGTTGGGATCACGGCAGTGACAAGTGAGAAACGAGGGAGGTTTTTTCTCAACCCGGCGTTTAAGTCAACGAGCAAAAAACTCTGCTTTGCACCAGGGAGGTCCTGGCTCCAGGGAAGTCCTGGCTCCAGGGAGGTCCTGGCTCCAGGGAAGTCCTGGCTCCAGGAAAAGCTGTAATTCCCCAGGGATTTGGAGCTGAGGATGGGAGGGTCTCACCTGGGTTGATGCTGAAGGTGCTCTGGAGGGAGCTGCGCCTCATGCAGGTCACGGTGCTGGTCACGGCGTGCATGTGGGAGAAGAGCTGCATGGCACACAGGGGGTACTGGGGGGCAGAGCCGTCCCTGGGCACGTTGTGGTCCAGGTAACACTGGGGGGGAAGGAGAATCTCGGCTCAGCTCGGCGTTTTTGAGGCACAGGAAACGGGATTTGTGGCGCTTTCACCCCGGGGAACAGAACTCCAGCCCCTCCCTCCTCTCTCTCCCCCTGCCTGCTGAGGCACCTGTTTGATGACTTGGGTCTCGTTGGCATCTTCCAGGAGGAAAATGGGGAAGTCAAAGTCCTCGTAGGAGATGCCACTGCCCAGGGGGTTCCACACGGTGGTGTTGCAGTGGGCGAACTCGGGGCCGTAGTCCTGGGAATACACACCTGGGAACAGAGAGAACGGGCACACCTGAGCCTGCAGGAGGGGAACAGAGCTCAGGGACTCTGGCCTTGCACAGTTCCAACCCTCTGCCACGGGCAAGGGCACCTCCCACCAGCCCAGCTGCTCCAAGCCCCTCTGTTTGTGTCACTGATGACGACACTGGTCCCAGTTTGGCCCCTGAGGGTCACCACTGGGCCCTGATGTCCAGCTGAGCCTCTGGACGTGACATTCCAACCACCCCAACCACGTTTTTCACCATCTGACAGCCCACCCACCAGACCCATCCCTTTCCTGAGCCCATCCTGTGCTGGGAGAATCCCAAAGGGCTCAAAGTGCCTCTGCCATTCCAGCTCCCCTGAGATCCCCTGCGCTTCCTCGGAGCATCCAAGGAAAAGGCACCACCCCTCCCTCCCCCCAGCAGGGATGAAGATGGGACATCTCCTCACCAAACCCATCGTTGGGGCACTTCAGGCCAGGGGAGAAGCCCTGGGCAGGGCTGGGTTTGGCAGCGGCCACGGCAAGGCCGGACACCCGGGAGGTCCCCTTGAGCTGCAGCAACACCTTCCTGGAGGAGAGAAAACAGCCCAGGAGTCAGGGGTTCCTCGAGGAAGAGCTGCAATCCCAGACAGAGGGATGATGATGATGGTGAGTTACAGCCGAGCCTGTGATCAAATTAACCTTTGGGTTTTATCTCACTGTGCAAAAAAAAGCAACAAGGAGAAAACCTCGGCCCCGTCCTTCCTGCTCTGCCCAGGGAGGGGAGGGACCACCCCGTGCTGGGGTTCAGTGGGCAGCAATGCCAGGGCTGCAATTAAATTAGGGACTGCTATTTAATGTGGAGGTGAACAGGGTGTGAGGATTCATACAGAGCAGAGCTCTTTCCACAGCAAAGGCAAGAAGGAAAAGTCACTAAAGCCCAGTGAAAAACCACTGATGGTTCAACCTCACAAGGACTGGCTGCAGGCAGAGCTGGTTCTGTCACCTGTCAGTCAGAAAATGACATTTAATCACCAGATCAGAGGCCCCTGGGCTCCCTGGGGGGATAAAAGCAGGTGCTGACTGACCTGTTGAAGAGATTCCCATCCAGCAGGATCATGTAGGGTGGGTGAGGACCATCGGCCAGGACCCACTGCAGGTCCTCCTCCTTCTCCACCACGTGGATCACCCCCGTGTCCCCGCTGATGGAGGCTGTGGGGTGACAACGGGCCCTTCAGGGCATTTGTTTCCTTCACACCCCCCCAAAAAAACCACCCTGGAAAGCAGGGCAGGGCAGTGTGCACAGGGCTTTAGGGAAAGGCAGCTCCTGGGATTGGGAGGGGGCTGGAGGAAGGAATTTGGGGATGGCTGAGCAGGACACGGCGCTTTCAGTTGGGAAAATCCAGCAGAGGTGAAGAAATGACCTCTCAGGCTTTGAAAGCACCTTTTGTTTGAGCTCCTCAAAGGACCTTCAGCCATCCAAGCACTGAGGGAATGGGAAGGACAGCAGGAGCCCAGGCCCAGCTTAGTGCTGCTCCCAAGCCAAGGGGACAGTGCCAGGCTCCTCCCAGGACAAGGAGTGATGTCCAGAAACTAAACCTCCAGGAGTTCCACCTCCAAATGAGGAAGAGCTTCTTTCCAAGGAGGGTGGAACAGGTTGCCCAGGGAGGGTGTGGATTCTCCTCTCTGGAGACATTCCAGCCTCACCTGGATGTGTCCCTGTGTCACCTGCTCTGGGTGACCCTCAAGAGATCCCTTCCAACCCCAATCCTACTCTGGGATTCTGCAAAGATGGACAAACCACTTCCAGAGTAAAGATGGACAAACCACTTCCAGGGCAAAGATGGACAAACCACTTCCAGAGGACGCCGCTGATAAAACCAAGCCCTTTGTCCACACCCAGGAACTGCTGGGAACTCCTGTCCCAGCACTGGGATCAGGCCAAGGGTGGCAGAGGAGCCAGAGGACCTTGGACCCTGGGTTAGCAGAGCTTGCCCAGAGAAGCTGTGGCTGCCCCATCCCTGGGAATGTCCCAGGCCAGGCTGGAGGGAGCTCTGAGCAACCTGGGCTATTGGGAGGGGTGGAATGGGGTGATCTTTAATGTCCCTTCCAACCCCAACCACTCCACGGTTCGTTATGAGCAGGATTAAGAGGTGCTGGGGACCAGGGGCACCAGGGGGGTTCCTCACCCCCCTCCCCACGGTCAGACCCCCCCTGCCCAGCCCAGGCCCCCCGGGCTCACACTGGCAGCCGATCTGGTGTGTGGCGTTG